CGCCGGCGCCGCGACCCACGGACCTCGGCGACATGGAGTGAGTGGCGCGCGCGGGCCGCGCCCCGGGGACCCCACGCCCGCGGGGCGTCGCGATCGCGCAGGCGGCGGGGAGCGTCTGCGGCCGACAGGGGAGGTGGGGGGACCCGCCCCGAGGCCTCGCACGCACCCCCGGTCGGGAGGGGACTTCGGGGCGCCCCCTCCGCTGCCTGGGGGTGGCGGCCTGGGACCCTGGAGACCCTTCCCCGGGTGGCCTCGCCGTGACCCCGGCCCGGCCCTAGCGCGCCGCGCCGTGCGCCTGGACACGCGCTCCGCCCTGCCCTGCCCTGCGCGGGGTCCCCGGCGTCCCGAGCCCCCTGCCGGAGCCCAGAACCGCGCCCAGGTGCTGCCCCGTGCTGCCGCCGGCCAGAGGGGCTTCCTGGGTGTCTGCGGGGTGCGCAGGGACGGCATAGGCGGTGCCCGGCCGCGAGCTTGGGGACGAGCCCCTCCCAGGAGGGCCCCCCAGATGGGGACCGAATGGGGAGACAGACAGAGTGTGCAGGGGTCAGAACTGGGCTCCTTATCCTTCCGGATCTGTGGTCCCGGCCAGGGGCTCGGGCTGGCCGCGGAGGACTTCGGTATACAGCAGGTGCTCAGCGAGTCTGCGTGGTCATTGGGGCGCGCGCGCGGTCCCCTGCTGTCTGTGTGAGGGTGTCCCCCATCCCAGTCCCCGGCCCCTCACTCCCACAGGTGGGTCCCAGAGGTTGTGGGGCATGCGAGGACCCTGCCTGGTGGTGCTGATGGTGGCCCGCGCTGGGCCCTGTCGCCACCCCATCTGAGTAGGACGAGGAGGTCCCCCAAGCTTGCCCTAGCCTGAGCCGGCTGCTCCCCGCCCTTTGCACTGCCTGTGTTTTGCAAGCAGCAACTTTCCCCGGGGATTTGCAGTGACCCACCACGCCCTGGGCAGGGTGGGAGCTGTCACCACTCCCGCCAGGGAAGGCCCAGACACCCTGTGTCCTCTGCTTTTGAAAACCCAGACAAAGGCCCGGCCGCTCCCCCCACCCCCACCCCACCCAGCCGGGAGCCCAGCCAGGGGCTCAGGGGAGCCAGCCAGAGGCTCAGGCCTGTCCCTATCTTGTTTATCTGCTGGGGTCTTCTGGGCCCCCAGACAGCAGGGCCTGGGGTGGGGCTGGGGGTGGGGAATGCAACCGGGAGCAGAGAGGCAGGAACAGTCACTCGGAGTGGCCCAGGAGGGGGTTTGCCTATGGGGCCCCTTTGTTCCCTGTCTGTCACCCAAGTTTCCCCCTCTGGGTCCCTAAAGGCCCAGAGAGGGGCAGCAGCTACCGAGGGTCACACAGCACCCAGAGCGCCTGGCTACTCGGTCAGGGGTCTTCTGTGACCCTGTGAGTCCCTTGCTGTGGGTCTCTGTCTTTCAGAGGGACCCTGTTGTCCCGTCCTGGGGAAGGTGGTGGTGGGGATGCCATGTGGCACTAGCCCGGTATGATCGCCCGCTTTTCGCTCGTGGGGCTGCACGGGGTAGGCTGGGCTCGGAGCGAGGCAGGAGTAGTGGCACCATGACCGGAGGGGATCGGGTGGCAGCTTCCCGCTGTGGCGCCAGGCGACCGGGAAGTTTGAGAAACGCATTTGAGGACTGGAGGAGATTTCAGTTTTGTTGAGATGCATTTGGTGAAATCTAGGGAGTCATGAAGTGGTCAAGGTGGGGCCCTGAGCTGGGGATCGGTGCTCTGGGGCGCTCTGGGGTGCCCTGTGGCGCTGCCAGCACCCACCCCAGGGAGGGAGAGGAGAATAACCCGACTGGCAGGCTGCGTTTGGGCTAGGCTCCTTGGGCTGTCCTTTGTTTTGTTTTGTTCTGGGCTCGTCTGAAACTCTTGGAGATCCTCCTGCCTCAGCCCTCTGGAGGTTGAGATGACAGATGTGGCCCAGCCGGCTCAGGGCTGGAAATTGTCAAAGGCAGAGTCCCAACTGGGTGCTGCCTGATTCCTTAGCACCCTTCTGGACTTCCTAATCCTCTTTTCCTAAGCCAGTTAAAAGGCGACAACCTTACCAGTCTGTTGCTGATTGCATCTGATAGACTCTGTGTTAGCTGTGGCTGTTTAGGTCCTGGTTTTGCTCTGATGTCTGCGGGCAACAACGTCTGGATTTCTCCCCGTGGAGAATAAAGGAGAATAAAGGACCGGTCTCTGGTTTAAAAAAAAAAATCAGTTTTAAAAGGCGGTGAGTTTTGCAGGGCCCGGGATATGGCTCAGCGGCACGGCGCCTGCCTGGCAAGGGTGAGGTCCTGATTTTGGTTCCTGGTTCCCAAAGAAAAAAAGATTGTGAGTTTTTCAGGGAGGAATACAAGATGACACCGGGTGACCCAGGAAACCTTCTCGCGCCATCCCGAGGCCTGTGGGGGCATCGTGGGTGCACCCGCTGGATCCTTCCAGAAAGAGGGAGACCAGAAACAGGGAGGGTGAGCCCCCCTCAGGCCTGGGGAGGATTGGTGCCTCTGAACTGTGGGCTGAGGGACCCTGGGACACCAGCCATCCTGACATCTGCTTTGCAGCCCGGTTGGTTTTTGTTTGTTTTTTCAGTACTAGATGGAACCCAGGGCCTTTGCACTGTCCCCCACCCTTTTTGTTGTTTATGTTAAAACAGGGTCTGGCTGGGTCACTAAATTGCTGGGCTGGGGCTGAATTTGCAAGCCGCCTGCCTCAGCCTCCCTCTTGCAGGTATTACCAGCATGTGCCGCCCTGCCTGGCTCTGGTTATTTTACTGAGCCGCGTGGACAGTGGCTTCCTCTGTCCCTCCCTGCCCTCCTGTGACTGTTGCCCTGGAGGTTAGGGGCCCCCTTCCCTGGCACCCCCTGCTCCCCTCAGCCAGGACACAGAGCTTGGGCCTGGCCAGCAACAGGGATTCCTGGCACCCAGGAGGGCTGTTCCTGCCTCGGGCCAGGTCTATCCTTGAGGATTTCAGATCTTAAAACTGAAAAATGAGCCACACGTGACGGTGCACACCTGTTGTCCCAGGACTCTGGGAGGCCGAAGCAGGAGAGTTACAAGTTTGCACTTAACTTAGGCAATTTAGCAAGTTAGCAAGACGGCCTCTCAAAAATAAGAAGGGTTGAGGATTTAGCTCAGTGTGAAGACCTTGCATTCTATCCCCAGTACCACCGGAAAGAAAAAGAATTAAGTAAAAACTAAACCTAGAAAGTGGCTCGATATTCTCCATAGGCCCCTTCTCAGTCCAGGCAGCTGATCACCCATTCATTCAACAGACTCTGTTGAGCGTCCCAGAGTCAGGCAGGGCGAGCGTGGGGAGGCTTCCCAGGTCCATCGCACTGTGGACCTTTTCTGCAAAGGGAGTTCAAGGGTTTTCCTGGCAGGCAGAAGGCTGTGTCTGGCAGAGACTCAAACATGTGCAAAGGCCAGGGGGCACAGGAGCAATGAAGAAAGCATTCTCTGGTTTGTTCTCTAGGTGCCAGGTGGGTGATAGTACCTGAGTTGGCCAGAGCCTACCGGTGGGTGTCTGGGTGGGTGGACATCCAGGACCAGATTTCCAGGGGCCAGAGCTGCCTACAGGGCAGGGCGGAATAGAGAATCCGACTGGAGTGGCTGCCTCCAGCCTTGGGGATTTCAGCTGAGGTGCAGGGAACATTCACAGCCAGTGACCAGGACAGAGCCAGAAGGGGACTACAGTCAGGCCCTGCGGTGGGCGAGGACCCAGGTAGGATGGGCTGCGTGGACCAGACGGTCACAGTGGGATGGTGGTGGCAAGGGCAGCCATCCGCAGCCTTGGAGGTCTGTGAGGAGCAGAGGCCTGGGAGGTGCACAGATGCTTGTCAGGGTGCTGGGTGGTGGCGCCCTTTGTCAGTTTTGCTGGAAGCCCCAGAGAGGGTGGGTGTGGCTCCCCATGGGGGAGGCCGGTGACACTTACTAATTAACTTATTTAGTGTTCTGGGAATTAAACATAGAGCCTCTGCCCTGAGCTCCATCTTCAGCCTTTTTAATACTTTTTTGAGACAGGTTCAGGGTGGGCGCTGTGAGTTCGAGACCAGCCTGGGCTGCAAAGTGAGCTCAAGGCCAGCCTGAGCTGCATAGCGAGACCCTGCCTCAAAAAGAACCCCCCCCCAAAAAAAACATTCCCTTCAGGCTGGACACCTGTAATCTGGGTTATCTGACAGGCTGAGGGAAGAGGAGGGAAAGTTGGAGGCCAGCCTGGGCGCTTCATGGAGTCTCTGTCTCAAACTAAAAAGGAAAGCAGGCTGCGCCGGCTCACCACTGAAGCAAAAAAAAAAATTTTTTTTGTTTTGGTACTAGGAATCGAACTCTCAACCTGGTGCTTGCCAGGCTGGTGCTTACACCGCTGAGCTAACTCCCTGGCCCTCCGTGCACAAAATTTTTAAAATTGCCAGGTCCAAGCACTTCTTGTCTCATACTGTGCCCCAAGAGAAGCCTTGTTCACATGAGCAGTCACCTGTTCCCACCGGGCCTTGTACCCAAGTCCACTTCCTGTTGCTGGAGTCACCAGTCCTGAGCATTTCCTATCCACAGAGCCTGCACTATGTGTCCTCTGTGTCTGGCATCTCCCTGAGTCCGGTTTCCTCATGGTCCACTCCACGCTGTGACATATGTCACAACTTCACTCCTTTTTCTGGCTAAGAAATATTCCTGGGTTGGCTGGACCTTGCCGTATGTGTCCATCTCTCCCTCGATGGGCACTTGGGTGGTTTATATACTCATCCGTTCTGTGTGGTATTCGGATCCTGCTTCCGATAAGTGAACCTCATGGGAGCCAGGCATGGTATGCACACCTTCAGGAAGCTGAAGCAGGACCGTTAGCACAAGTTTGAGACCAGCCTGGGCTAAATAGCCAGACCTTGTCTTAAAAAACCCAAACCTTTAGAAATAAAAAATAAACTAAGCGGTGACACTGAATCAGAAAGGCGAGCTCATCAGGCACGTGGTCCTGGGGCAGGGGGACAGGTGACAGGGAGGGGGCTGAGGGCTCATGGGTGGGGATTCCTTTGAAAACAAAAGGCACCTGATTCCCCAGATGCTACAGTAGACACTGGGACTTCCTTCGGGCTGAATGCCAGGGATAGGCCAGCATCAAAAACTCCCTGTGCTGTCCTCCCGGGCAGTGAAGAAAATAAAGAGCAAGGTGGCCAGGGTGTTCCAGCGTCCTGCGAGCTGGGATGTGAGGGTTGGGGCCCTGGCAGCTGGTGCAAAGGCCCTGTGGTCAGGGTTGAGTGGATGGTGCCAGAGTCATCGAGGGCTGCGAGGACGCTGCAGTTTCTCTGCAGCCCTTTCTGCCTACATAGGCCCCTTCACATTCTGCTGCCCCTTGGGCAAGGTCCAGCTCCTCCCCTACCCTCCCCAGGTTAATGGGCAGCAGCTCTGCTCTCTGGGCTGTGACAGTCTCTCCCTTTCGGCACCTCGCCTTGGAGAATCCCCAGGGACCGGGCTGGTCCCAGGCCCTGTCTGTGCAAAGGCCGAGGGGCCGGGGGAGAGTTCCTTCCTGAAGAGCAGGGAGGCCCCCAAGGCTTCGTGGGAGACATGGTGGCGGTGGTGCAGGTTGGGAGGGCCAGGTGGACGCTGGGAGGCGTGGTGCAGCCCCGAATGGCAGGTTGGGGTCCCGGGAGGATGAGGGTTAGGGGCGGTGGTTATTGTCCGTGTTTGAAATACAGTCTAGCTAAGGAGCCTAGGCTGGCCTCAAATGCTTGGCGATCCTCCTGCCTCGGCCTCCCAAGCTCCGGGATCCCAGGTGTGGGGCTCTGCGCCTGGCCCGTTAGGTCTGGAGCGGCAGCTCTGGGGTCCCTGCATTCTGAGGTCCAGTGAAGACCCGGAGGGTGGGCAGACAGGAAGTGGCAGGGGAGAAAGGATGGAGGGTTTGGGGTTCGGGTCACATTTCAGGTCGGTGCAGCCCCAGTGCTTCAGGGTTAAGGCTGGGGCAGGCCGCATGTGCTCGGCTGTGGTCTGTGGTTCGGTGGGGGCCCTGGGAATCCAGGGGGTCCCTGCTGGCGGGGACCCGTGCAGCCTCCTTGGTGGGGGGCCCCTGGGCACCCTCCCCCAGTCCCCACTGAGTGATTCCCCTCCCGGCGCAGGGCACGGTCAGCTGGTTCCTGTCACAGCGGCAGGAATGTCCTGGGCGCCGGGCCGCCTGGCTGGGACCCCTAAGCCCCGCGCGTGGGCCTGACACGTGCGAGCCCGCCCCCCACGCGCGGCTCTGACCAAGCGCCCCGCCCTGGCCGCGGGGTGACCTTGGGGCGGTTGCGAAACCTCTCTGGACCTTTTTAAAAAAACAAGCCCGCAGCCCCGCCAGGCCTCGCCCGGGCCCCAGCAGAGTCTCCCGCGCGTACTGCCCACGGCCACGCGCAGCAGCCCCAGGGGCTCGCGGTGGCGGCTGCTCTCTGCTCCGGGGCCTCCGTACCCTGCGCCAAACCCAGCTGCTCCGCGCCCCGCCGTGGTGGTGGTGGTGCTGCCCGCCTGCGGGGTCAGGGATGGAGAGGCCGGGGCAGGAGGATCGCTGCGGGTTCGCGGCCAGCCTGGGCTGCAGAGTGAGCCCAAGGGGCCAGCCCGCACTGCACAGCGAGACCCTGCCTCAAAAAGACAAAAAATAAAATACAGCACCTCCCCCCCCCCGCAGGACCGCGTCTTCGCCTCCTGCACGGCCTCAGTTTGCCCATCCGTGAAATAGGACCGATGGCGGGGCAGGCAGCAATGGGTCCCTGGGAGTTTCGCCTGCTGCTTTGTTAGAATCGAAGCTGTAGCTTTGCTTTATTTTCAGAGTTTCGGATCTTGTATTCTTAAGACTCTTGTGTCAACCTTGGCTGCTTCCTCCGAGTCCTTCTGGGATGGGTGGGAGTGAGCCCTAAAACTGGGAGCACCCCAAATCCCGCTATGGTGCTGCAGGGCTATCATTGGACTCTGGGAGGCTGATGCAGGAACACATCAAAATCCAGACTGCCCTGAGCCACCGAGGGCCGCAGCCAGACCCTCAGTATCCAAATAAAAACTCAGCAATGCTGGGAGTGGAGCTCAGTGCGCAGGTCCAGGTTTCAGGCCCCGATATTGGAGGGGGATCAGAAGCATCGGCCTCCTTCTCGCCCCACTCCGGGGACCCGCGCAACCCCGCACCCCGGCAGCCCCTGGAGCCAGCGAGAACCCTCGCAGGCCCGGAGCGCCAGGTTGGGGGTGGGAGATGCGGTGCAGGCCCCACCCCCGCTTGCCGGGCCTCCGCGTTGCCATGGGGACGGTGCGGTTGCCAGGGCGACCGCCTCCCGCGGGCCCGCCATCCATCAGGGAAGCGGCGGGGCCCGGGGGCGGGGCGCGGGGCTGTGGCGCCCCCAGACCTGGGGGGGGGTGGCTGATGCAGAGTGGAGGGGATGCGCAGCCTGGGCCCCCTGCCTGAGACCCCTCCCCGACGCCGAGGGAGAGGGGACAGGGACGGCCTCTTCCTGGGCCTCCGGGGACACGGCCCAGGCCTCTCTCTGCCCTGTGTCCCTCTGACCCTCGCCTGGCCTGGCTCAGGGGACAGGCCGCCCAAGGAGGACACTGGTCTCCTTGTCTGCAGCCTGGGAAACGAGACACACAGCCGTCCCTGTGTCCCTCTGTCCAGTCTGAGAGGAGACCTGACCGCTGGGGTGGGGACAGGGCACTGGGCAACCTGCCCAGCATGGCCTGGGGTGCTGCTGTTTGAACCCCCCCCTCCCACCGGCCTAGGCCTAGCTCCTTCCTGGCCGGGGTCCTGGAGGCTACACTGGCGTTGAAAAAGGGGGGACACAGCCTTGCCCACTGCTGCAGGTCCAGGGCCGGAGCAGTGACCAGGAGGCTGGAGGGGCAGAGGGACACGGCCCTCGGCCTGGGGGGTGAGGGGTGGAGAGTGTGCCGGGGACCCACGCGGTGGGGCAGGCCTCTAACCCCAGCCCTGGGAGGCTGAGGCAGGCAGATCTCCGGGAGTTTGAGGTCTGCCCGCGCCTCATAGTGGGTTCAAGGCCAGCAGCCAGAAAACCGGTCAAGCCTTTCCTGACCCGACTCGGGTGAGAAACGGGAGACGCACGGGGTGAGGCCAGTGATGCTTCAGGTGCCACTGGCCAGGAAGGGAGGCGCCTCGGGGTCACCTGGCAGGGCGTGGGAGCCTGCAGCTTCCCAGCCTCAGCGCGGCCAGGAAATGGAGCCCCAGTCTGGCGGGCGCTGCGGGCTCCAGGCTGTCTGGGCTGGAGGAGCCGCCAGGCTGGGGCACGGTGTGGTGTGCCCCTGCCGCTTCTCACCTCTGCAGATGGGGAAACTGAGGCCCAGGAAGGGGATAGCTCTTAGAGGACCCAACTGGCTTTGGGTGCGAGGATGTAGTGTTAGGGCCCGAAGGCCAGGTGTGATTTCAGCCCTGGGAAGAAAGGGGGCAGAGGGCAGAGCAGGGCGGGGGGGGTCCTGGCTCCCCCTGTCCCCAGGGCCAGCAGGTTGTCCCCTCCCCCTCCAGCCCTCCCACCCCATGCAATGCCTCACTGAAGGAGACCCTTGTCTCCTTTGGGTGCCGCTGGCAGCAGTGCTGTTTGTTGAGTGCCTATCTAAGCCACCCCTGGGCGCTGAGGCTGAGGGGTCCTTCTTGGTTGCCTCTAGGAAAAGCCACTGATGAGGGTGGAGGAGGGGTGCACCTGTCATCCCAGTTCACAGAGGCCAAGGCAGGAGGGTCACTAATTCCAGCCCACTGTGGATACCTTAGCAAGACTATTTTTTTTCCTTTTGTTTTTGGTCTTTTTGAGACAGGGTCTCGCTGTGCAGCTCGGGCTGGCCTGGAGCTCACTGTGTAGCTCAGCCTGACCTGAACTTGCACGGATCCTCCTGCCTCAGCCTCCCGAGTGCTGGGAAGACAGGAGGGCACCACCACACTGATGTAAAATAAGTTTGAAAACGAGGGACTAGAGGTTGTCACCCAGGTGTGAAGCATCCCAGGTCTTGAATCCCCAGAACTAAGAAAAAAAATCTTGGGTGCAGTGGGGTCCGTCGAACCTTGTTTCCGGCTGTGCGTCTAGGGAAGCCCTGGGTATGCTGGCTGGTGTCGGGGACCCTACAGCTGGGTTTGCAGGGCCAGGCAGGCCCTTCGTGGGGCCCATGCCCCTCGGAGCTGCAGAAGGGTGAGTGGTGGGCGGAGCGTTCTGAGGGGCTGCCTCATCCCATCCTCCACTCGGAGCCTGGAGGGGAGGAATGTGGATCCTTCCGAAAACTGCTTCTCTGACCTTTGATGCCTGGTGAACTCCTATGCATCCTTTAGCACCGACTTCCCGCTGACTTTTCCCAAAGCCTTCTTGCCTGTGTCTGCCGTCTCCTTGGCGGTGAGCTAGTGGAGGGTTTGTTGAATGAATCCATGAAGTGTAAGGCAGAGAGAGACCAGCGCTGCACCTCGGGGTGCTGGGGGGAGGACACAGCTGGGGTCGGGCGGCGGGGGACAGGAACAGGGTCCTGGGACAGGAGCACGGGGGCCAGAGGCCTGGCCTGACTCTGCCCGTTGCCAGGGTCCTGACGGCGGACACCGCGGCCCAGCAGGAGAGGCTCCAGGCCATCGCGGTGAGTCCCTGGTTCCAGGCGGGTGAGGGGGCCGCGGGCGGGGCTGCGGGGCTAGGGGTCGGGGTCTGGGCCTCTGCTGATGCGAGGGCCCGACCCCAGGAGCGGAGGAAGCGGCAGGCAGAGATTGAGAGCAAACGGCGGCAGCTGGAGGACGACAGGAGGCAGCTACAGCACCTGAAGGTGGGGCCCGCGGGGCGCAGGGGGGCGCAGGGGTGATCAGGACCCAAGTGGGGGAGGGGCGGGTCTGGCTGTGCGGTCCAGGCGGAGCCCGGCCTTTGGAGACCCTCCTGCCTCAGCCTCCCGAGGAGGACTTGGCTCAAGCCCTGCCCTGCCCCTGACCGGTGGCCTGTGCCTCAGTCCAAGGCCCTGCGGGAACGCTGGCTGCTGGAGGGGACGCCGTCGTCGGCCTCAGAGGGGGACGAGGACCTGCGGAGGCAGATGCAGGAGGATGAGCAGCGAGCCCGGCTCCTGGAGGAGTCCATCTCCAGGTGGGCCCTGGGTCACATGCAGGGGCCTGCGCTGCCCGGGCTGGCTGGGCCTGGTCCCATCTGGTCCCCGCCTGAGCTCCAGGCTGCTCCTTTGCCCCAGGACGGCAGGTGTGCACGGCTGGCGGCGGGTGGTGTCGGGGAGGAGCCTGCCTCGGCCTCCCCAGGGCTTTCCTGGCGCCAGCCCAGCTGGCGGCGCCCGAGCCTGGTGCTGCCCAGGGAGGCTGAGGCTGCTGTGCGCAGGAAGCAGGGAGGGGACAGGATGGGAAAGTGGCCTGGGGACAAGCTGCCTGGGTTTCCGGGCTGGCAGGCGGGTGGGAGGCCCAGGCCCAGCTCGGGCCACAAGGTCACCGAGGAGGGAAATGACGGCTGACCAACGGGCCTGGAGTCCCAGCCAGCCCGGGAGGGCCGTGCCGGGGAGGCCCTACCCTGCCTCCCGCCCGGAGGCTGCCCCCACACTGTGTGTCCCGGCACGCTGGTGGCGGCCCTCCTGCCTCAGCCTCCCGGGTGCTGGGCTGACGGGCGCCACCTCACCCTGCCCTCCTAGGCTGGAGAAGGAGATCGATGCCCTGGAGAACGGGGAGGACAACGCAGCCACCCCCAGCCCCGCCCGCGCCCCTGTCCCCGCCCCCAGCACCCCTGCCCGGGAGGAGCCCAAGACCGAGGTGGTGCTGAACTCACAGCCGGTAAGGGGTGGCTGGGGGCGGGTCCCAGGGTGGCTTCACACTCCGGGCCACGTTTTCCTGTAAGGCTCAGAAGCTTAGCTCTTGGGATGCAGAGGCAGGAGGATCTCTGGGAATTTGGGGCCAGCATAGGTGACACAGTGAGTTCAGACCCACCGTGAGCTACATAGGGAGACCCCGTCTCAAAAATAAATTAAAAAATAGGTTTAAGTCTGGGTGTGATGGCACATGCCTATATCCCAGCACTCTAGAGGCTGAAGCAGGAGGATTACTGAGAGTTCAAGACCAGCCTGGGGTGCAAGATGAGCTCAAAGGCCCCTAAACTGCATGGTGAAACCTTGTCTCAAAAAGACAAATAAAATAAAATAAAAAGAACTGCATTGTGGAATACCCCCAGCCCCATCCAAGGAACCGTCTGATTTAGGTCAGGGTTGCCCAGGCTTTCCATAGGATGGAGGTTTTGAAGATCCAGTAGGAGTTTTCCAGTGAGGATAAGGGGTTAGGGTTAGATAAACGTGGACCCACCCCAGGGATGGCGGCGCAGGGAGCGGGTGCACGTGGGGTGGCCTCACAAGCTCCTGAGCTCGCGGCAGGCCCGCAGCCGGGAGAGGGGACCCTGGGCCGCCGAGCAGCCGGGCGCGCGCGCTGACCTCTCGCTCTCTCTTGCAGACCGCGGCGGGCACACCCAAAGGTACTGCTCGGGAGGGGCGCGCGGCCGGCGCCCTCTGGTGGCCGGAGAGGGGATGGCGGGGGCAGAGATGGTTACTGTGGTGACTGAGCCCTGATCTTTGAGCCCGGATCGCGTGGTGTTTCTTTCTCATCACCTCGCGGCATTTTCCCAGCAGCACTCTGGGAAGCTGAGGCAGGAGGGTCACCATGAGTTCCAGGCCAGCCTGGGCTCCAGAGCATAGCATGAGCATCCGCTAGAGGCTGTGGTGCTCGCGGGGCGGGCACTCGGTCCAGTCGGTGCTAGCCCGAGTTGCATTTTTCGGTGCGCCGGGCGTGCGCAGAGCCGGGCTTCCTGCGGGCTCGGTCTCAGCGGCCCCTGCCAAGGCGCTGGCCTGATTTGCAGGGCATTAATTATTCACGAGCGGTGTCTCCTCATCTTACTGGAGAATTAAAAATTAATAATTAAAAATCCGGGCTGGCCTCTCCGGGATTCTGTGAAAGGCACTCGGGCAGAAAGATGACAGGGCTGTGGGGCAGGGTGTCTCCTCCCGGGAAGGGGTGGGGTGCGTGTTGGGGTCGGGGAGTCGGAGTCCGGGTGTGTGTCGAGGCCTGGGTGTTGGGGTCTGGGTGTATTGGGGTCCGGGTGTGTTGGAGTATGGGTTTGTTGGGGTTCGAGTGTGGGAGTCTGGGTGTTGGGGTCCAGGTGTTGAGCTCCAGGTGTGTTGGGGTCTGAGTGTTGTGGTCCAGGTATGTTGGGGTCCAGGTGTGTTGGGGTCCAGGTGCTGGGATCCGGGTGTTGAGTTCCAGGTGTGTTGGGGTCCGGGTGCATCTGACTCTGGGTGTCAGGGTCCGGAGTCCGGTGTGTGTGCCCCGGGCCTGCTGGCCCTGCACCCCGCTGACCCCTTCTCTCTCCATCCAGCAGAGCAGCGCGTCTGTAACAGTCCGGTGTGCTCGGTGGACGGCGCCACCATGATGAAGGCAGGTGGGTCGGTCCCCGTCCCCGCCCCGCCCAGCCTCCGCCCAGGGATCCCCTCGGCACCGCAGGATGGGGCTCCGGGCCCGCCCTTGTTGGTATCGTGGGCCGAGGTCACACAGGGGCGGCTGGACCAGGCCACAGCTCTGCTTGACGCCTTTGTCCCTCACCAGCCTAGGCTTCCCCGCACCACAGCTTCCCGCATGGCGGCGTAGACGCCACCCCATGCTTCCTCTCTCCTGACCTCAGGCCCAAGTCTAGAACATGCTAGCCGCGCGTCCCACCTGTGACTGGCTTGGGGGGCAGGGGCAGCGCCACACTCCTGGATGGGACCACGCTGGGATGTGGTGTGGCTGTACTTTGGGGGCTTCACGCCAAGTTCCTTTCCTGACGCTTTGTGCAGTGCACAACCTGCCCAACTGTGTTGGTGGCCTTGGAAATAGTTCCTCATGGGCAGAAGTGTTAGACAGCCCAAGGACAGGGAATTAAATAACCATCATTTTTTTACTCGTTTAACAAATGCCTACCAAGTGCCTGCCACATGCTGGGCGGCGCTGGGCTCCTTCCGGCAGGGCTGATGTCCCCGTGCGGGCGACTGTCTGTTCAGGTCACTTCCAGAGGACAAGAGTTAGAGAGAGGGGATTTAGCTCAGCAGCATAAGCGCCAGGCTTGCAAGCGCGCGGTCGTGAGTTCGATCCCTGGTACCGATATTAAGAAAATAGAAGTCAAAGAGTGGGATGTGGAGGGGAAGCTGTTTCCAGGGCTCTGTGGCTGTGGGCAGGTTTCCCGCTTCGTGCCAGCGAGAGGTGGGAACCGTGGAGGGCTCTGGGCACTGGAGGGACGGGATTCGGATGTTCATGCCGCCCCCTGGTGGCGGCTGGGAACAGACAGGGAAAAGTGGGCTGCAGAGTCGGGGTTTGGGGGTGGGGAGGGCTGGGGCAGGGCAGGGTCAGGTCCTTATGGCCAGGGCTGGGGGCGCTGGCGACACACAGCAGAGAGGAGAGCCCGGTGCAGAGGGGGCCCAGGGCCGAGAGCGGCCTCCAAGGCCACAAGCCTTGGGGGCTGGAGGGAAGGGGACAGGGCCTTGCATCCATCCCCAAGGGAGCGGCACACAGCAGGCACACAGAGCTGCGCCCAGCGCTCTGACCCCCTGGGGAGCCCAGGGTTCCGGGGTCACAGCCAGGGGCCTGAAGACAGAGCCTGGGGTTTGAGGTCAGAACGGAGAGTCCAAGGTCAGTTCCAGAGGCCCAGATGGTGGGGAGGGCAGAGGTCAGGCCAGGCCCTGCCGAGTTGCGGCCCAGGCTGTGTCCCCAGGCGAAGCCAGGCCTCCTCCTCACGTCCCTTCCAGGGGCACCAGGACTAATGGAACCTGGGGGGACACGGGGCTGAGTGGCCTAGCAGGCAGGGATGGAGACACAGGACAGCAGGACAGCAGGACAGGTCTCGGATGCCAGGGCCAGGCACGAGGGAGCTATGGCGGGCTGCAGAGCTGGGGGAGGGGCCGCGTCCCACACCGCATTGGGGGCCCACGGCTGCTTTGGCTCACTGCTGGCACCCCGCCCCGCTTGGCTGCAGCCCGGCGGGGGGTAGCAGGGCGGGGGACGCCGTTAACCCCGTGCCTCTCATGCCAGCCATGTATTCGGTCGAGATCACGGTGGAGAAGGACAAGGTGACTGGGGAGACCAGGGTGCTGTCCAGCACCACGCTGCTCCCCCGGGAGCCGCACCCCCAGGGCATCAAGGTCTACGAGGACGAGACCAAAGGTATGCGAGGCGGAAAAGGCGTAGGGGCGTCCGGGGGGGACACGGACGCCGGTCACTGCAGCACGAGGGAGGCTGAGGCAGGAGGATCCCTGCAAGGTCCAGGCCGGCCTGGGCTACAATGAATTCCAGGCCAGCCTGGACTGCACAGGGAGACCCTGGCTCACACAGAACAAAACACAGCTGACACTCGAGCCATGGAAGTGGCCACAATGGTGAGAAAGATCGCAGAAAAACGAGGGGAGGGGCGCGGCCAGCAGTGTCCGGGTGGGGGAGGGACTTCAGGGGAGGCCATGGGGCCCCCCGGCAGGGTGCAGCAGGGCAAAGCTAAAGTGAGGGGCGGGGTGCTGGGCTGTGTCCCGAGCTCCTGGCTGGGGTGCAGAGGGGTCTGGGGGGGAGGTGAGTTGGCCACGAAGGCCCCTTCCGGGCGGGGGCGGCTCAGTGCAGGGGTGAGGGTCCCCCACGCTGCAAAAAATGAAGGTGCAGGGGGCTGGGGATTTAGCTCGGTGTCATAAACGCCTGCTTGGCAAGCGCGATGTCGTGAGTTCCATCCCGGATCCCCGGAAACAAAAAATAAAAAATGCGGTTGCAGGAGTGAATAGAAACGCCCTCCGGCGGCCAGCAGGGGGCGCCCGCGAGGGAGCCGCGGCCTGGGAGCAGGGTGGGGTGCGTCTCCAGTCGCCATGGAGACAGACTCTCATACCACAAAGTTCAGGCCTGCCTGTGGGGCTCAGGAGGTGGAGTGCAGTCACCGTGTCGTGCAGCCACCCTCTCTGCCTAGTTCCAAAACATTCCATCACCTGGGAAGGAAGCCCCATCCAGTCCCTCCCTGGCCCCAGCACATCCCCATCTTGGAGTCTCCTGAGCACATCTTGTCTCTGGAGTCGGCCGTCCTGGGCGTGTCCTGTCTGTGGAATCCATAGTGTGTGCCCTTCTGTGTCTGGAGTCTCTCACTGAGCGCGGTATCCTCAAGGTCCCTCCATGCTGTGGCCAATGACATAGCCTCTCCCTCTTCCTGGCTGAGTAATATTCCAGCATGTGTGTCCAGCTATGCGTACCAGGCAGTTTCCCCCTCCTGGCTTGGAAATGCTGGACACAAGCACTCGCAGGTGGGAGGCTGGGTCAGGTGGTGACAGGCTACACTGTGTAGCCTGGTGCTCTTAGAGGTGACCCATTTTGGGAGCGTCCATGAAGCTACCCGAGGGTCCTGTCGTGCCAGCCATGGTGATGAACACCTGTCATCCGAGCTACTCAGGAGGCTGAGGCAGGGAGATCACAAGCTCAAGCGCAGAGCGAGCAACTAACAATTTAGGGAGTCACTGTCTTGCAGTAAAGAGCTGCAGATACTGCTCAGCGCTGAGCCCCTGGGTTTAATCCACAGCCACAAAAAACATGGGTCCCCTGAAGGGCTTGGGGGGACATATCTGGTTGGGGCCCAGCCCTAGCTCTGTGGTGAGGACAGCATGGGCGTCCTTACCCCCAGCTCCACCCCAGCCAAGCCCTGACCTCTTTCTGGTTTCCTCAGGCCCTGGGGACTCAGGACCTTTAAGACTGTACTCTGGTTGCTTAGCAATGGAAGGCCATCTGTTTCCATGGCAACCAAGACTCTGAGTCCTGTGTGGGGCGATGGCCTGTGGGGAAGGGCACGCCCCACCCTCTGGGCCACCAGAGTCCCCACAGGCATCCAAACTGGAGCAGAGGGAGCTTCCCGCCTGGCCGGAGTCCAGGGACAGCAGCCTGACCCTTGGCCAGGAGGAAACAGTGACTGTGGCCACCTCCTTAGTCCCGTCCTGGGAGAAGAGTGCTGGGCGGTGGCCAGAGTCCCTGCTGAATTGACCCCCTGGGCTCCCTGCTCCTCGTGGCCAGGGCCAAGGGGCAAATGGCAGAGGCAGGGCGGTGTGAAGTTTCACCAGGAAACAGACAGGAGCCGGGGAAACTGATGAGGTCTGTTAATAGCTGGGTGCTGTGCTCGCCTGACATCCCAGCCTTGGGAGGCAGAGGCAGGAGGATCCCAAATACAATCTTCCTTGGGCAGTTTACTGACTTAGCAAGACCTGTCCCAAAATATAAAAAAAAAAAAAAAAAAAGTTTGGGGATATAGCTCAGGGCAAAGGCTTTGGATTTGATCCAGCACCCCCTAAAAAATTAAAACAAATCTACTGCTACACACAGTGGTGCACTCTGTAACAGGCTACTCAGGAGGCTGAGGCAGGAGGATCAGGAATTCGAGACCAGCCTGGCAACTTAGGGCCCTGTCTCAAAATAGAAGCAGTAAAGTAAAGCCAGGCATGGTGGCACACGCCTCTCATCCCAGCACTCGGGAGGCTGAGGCAGGAAGGTCGCTGTGAGTTCCAGACCAGCCTGGGCTACAAAGTGAGCTCGAGCTTGAACTCGAGCCTGGCAGGCTTTTTTTTTAACTGTCAGTCGTTGGTAGCTCGGCGCTTTCTCGCCCACCTGCCTGCCTGGCCTGCTCACTGGAGCCTTCCCTGTCCCCGCAGTGGTCCACGCCGTGGATGGCACCCTGGAGAACGGGATCCAGCCCCTGAGCTCCTCCGAGGTGGACGAACTCATCCACAAGGCCGACGAGGTCACCCTGAGTGAGGCGGGGTCCACGGCGGGGGCAGCGGCAGAGACCCGGGGGTCCACGGTGGCGGCCACAGAGGAGGCCGTGCGGACCACGCCGCTGCGGCGGGAGATCACGGGGGTCCAGGCAGAGCCCGGTGAGGCCACCTCGGGACCAGCCGGCGCCCAGCCCGGCCAGGAGTCTCCGGTCACCATGATCTTCATGGGCTACCAGAACGTGGAGGACGAGGCCGAGACCAAGAAGGTGCTGGGGCTCCAAGACACCATCACGGCCGAGCTGGTGGTCATCGAGGACGCGGCCGAGGCCAAGGAGGCCGCGCCGCCCAACGGCAGCGCCCCGGAGGCTCCGGCCGGCACCCCGAGCCCCGGGGAAGAGGACCGGGCCGGGCCCGAGGCCACCACCAGCGGCGACCCGCAGGACCTGGACCTGAAAAAGCACAGGTGCAGGTGCTGCTCCGTCATGTGAGCGCCCGGCCCGCGCCCCGGCCCTTGCCCTGCGTGCCCCTCCCAGCGCCCGTGCCCGTCCCGAGTGCTTCCCGCCATCCAAGAGGGACAGGGACCCCGCCCGCCGCCACGCCCCACACGCGCCCGAGCTCTGAGCCGTGCACTTTGCACCCGGCGGGAGGGAGAGGGGGCCACCCCCACCCCGCTTTTCCAGATCGAGGGTCCCCGCTCCGCAGATGTGGCCACCGAGGTCTGGCCGCAGTGGCTGGTGGCCTGTGCCTTTCTGCCACCTCTCCTGGTCTCTCTTCCAGGAACCCCGGGGTCCAGGGTCCCCCCTCAGCGAAGGCACTGGCCTCGAGGGCTCTGGCGCCTGGGGACCGGGTTGGGCCGCCCTGGACACCCCGACTGCTGTGTCCCCCCACCAGGGGCCGGGTGGTGTGGGTGGAGCCGGGGCAGCTCCGGGGCCCTGAGTACCCCCAGAAGGTGTCGGTGGCTCCAGGCTGTCCCTTGGCCGGGCCTCGGTCTGTGGTCTGGAGCTGCTGCTTGTCCCCAGCTCCTAACCCACTGGGCCCCGCTTCCTCCTGGTGCTAATTTGGGGACCCCAGAGGGGCCACCACCCCCGGCCTCTTCTCCAGCCTGGGCCCCGGGGATCTCCCAGAAAGCAGGCCCCAGCGGCCAGCTCTGCCAGGCTGGGATTATTTTGGGGCAGGGAGGTCCCCTGGGGTGGCGCACAGGGACCCCCATTTGCCACCTGGAGTGACATTGCGGCCCCTCGCTGGAGGTGGCCCGGAGGACCCTGCCCGGGGGTGGCCGCAGGGTCCCCGCACAAGCCCCAGATCCCTCACTCAAGGGTCAGCTCGGGTCTGGAGCCCAGGCCCGAGGGCCAGGCTCAGTGGCCACCCCAGGCCAGGCCGGGGTCACCGTCGAGGCTCCGCCCCTCCGGTGGCCGGGGGAGGGGCCCTCTCCAGGGCGACCCAGGCAGTGGCCGTGGGACCCCTCCACTTCCTCCCTTGAGTCTGCCCGAGTCCCCGAGCTGTGACCCCTCGCTGAAGTGCCCTTGCGCGCCCTCTGCTTTCCATGTGTGATGAGACCCCATGTTCTTGATTTTCCCAGAGACGCAAATAAAAGTGTGAAGAGCCCGCGCCCGGGTCATTGGATTTCACCAGTGGGAGGGGCGGGGCCGTGCCAAGGGGGTGGGCGGGGCTGTACCAAGGGGCGGGGTCTGTGGGCGGGGCCTGCAGGAGCTATAAAAGCGGAGGCTCTTCCTGCTCAGCCCACTTTTCCCACTTGTAGCTGAGCCTGTCTCGTGGGCTCAGAGAGGCTGCAAGGCACCAGTGATTCCTGCCCAGGGAAGGTAAGGCCTGGTCGTGGGGTGGCTGCGGCGTGGCTGGGCTCGCTCCTTGCTTCTTGGGGAGCCGTGGCTCCCATATCCACCATCCACACCCCATCCTTTGGGCATATAGCCCACGGGAGACAGGGTCCTCATGGACACCCAGCTCTGAGGAGCAGCAGCCCTGCGACGCACATACTTGGGGTTTGCTCCATTCTCAGGGGTCCCCAAGGGGTCCGTCTGCTGCCTCTCTGGGCCTCTGTTTACCCATCTGTAAAATGAACCTGGAGTGAGAGGCCAGTGCGGATGTGAGAGCAGGACAGTCTGGTCTCTGACCTCCCCTGGCCTTCTTTTCCCCAAGCAAGGGGGAGGAGGACTCAGCTCTGAGTCCCAGCACTTCGTGGGGAGGGGGAGTTTCCGTGCCTCAGTTTCCCTACCTGCTCTCTGGCCGACTGGGTTAGTGCCCTCAATAGTGGCGGGCTGGGTCTGTCCTCATAAGCTGGGGGACACCTGTCCTGGGGGCAGAGAGGAGGCAGAGGTTCCACAGCGAACCCCAGGGCAGGGGAGGTCAGAGCCCAAGGCCTGATCAGCCAGTCCGGCCTCCCAGAACCCTGAGACCCAGGATGGGGGGACCCTGTGAGGGATTCTCCCTGCAGCCTTAAGGGAGATGTCCAGGTTTCGTCCCTTAGGGCTCAGAGCCTGGCATGATGTGCACACCTGTCATCCCAGCACTCGGGAGGCTGAGGCAGTAGGATCCATGGAAGTTTGAAGCCAGCCTGGGCTACACAGCAAGATTCTGTTTCAAGAAAGAAACTCCAAAATAAAAACAGGGCTCAGAGGGGCTGGGAATTTAGCTCAGCGGCATAAGCACCTGCCTTGCAAGCAGGCAGTCGTGAGTTCGATCCCTGGTACCGATAAAAAGAAAGAAAAAAGAAAAAAAAAAAAAGGGCTCAGTGAGATCTGAGGCTCCGACCACTGACTGTCCATCTGGACAGAGGCCAGCAGGCCAGGTCAGGCCAGTTGCATGAGGGGGGCTGGGACTCAGCCCTGCCACTGCAGCTGTGGGAGCCTGGCTTAGGGTTTCCCTTTCTGCCCAGTGCAGGGGTTTGGGGCCCAGTTCCGGCCACTTGGGCACAGTGCTCGCCCCGCCCAGCCCCGCCTGGGTGTCGTCTTTCTCCTCCACCAGCCCTGGACTTTGTGTCCCATGCTGGGTGGGGCCGGGACACCCTCAGGCCTGGGGCCTGGTTCCCTGGCAGCAGCAGGCGAAGCTGGAGCTGGGAACCTTGGTGAGACCCGGGCTGCTTGGAGGGACTGGGGCGGGTGGGGGTCCGGTGGCAGGGGGGTGCACTCGCGCTTTTGTGCTTTGGGATCCGGGAGTGGTGCACTCCCAGAGAGGCCCCAGGACTCCAGTCCTCTCCTCTCCCAAGCTAGGACTGGCTAGGGTCTCAGGCTCGTATCTGCACCCCAATCTCATTCCAGACCACCCTCAACCCCTCAGCCTGCCTGGCACTTCAGTCTAACCCCAAAGGCTCGCATCCCAGCACCGGACTTTCAAGGGGCCGTGGAGACCCCTGTTTTCTCTGGGAATTCTGGGGAGACAGACTGTTCCCCCCCAATCCACCCCCAGCAGGGGCCAGGGCCCAGGTTGGCAGAGCCCAGCAGGTCCAGCCTGGCCCTGGGGTACCCACTCAGGCTCTACAGGTCCACAGGGCCAGACACCTGCCCACCCCCACCTGTGCTGGGGCTGTCCCCGGAGCCTTTGCGTGTGGGAGGAGGCTGGAGCCAGTCAAGGGGGAACAGGTGTACAGTAAAGGGCTATAAACTGTGGGGTTTGGTGTCGAAGGCTGAAGGGTGGGGCCCGGGGAGCAGCCTCGAGGCTTCCTGGGGTGGGGCGGGGCGATGCCAACCTGTGGACCTACGGAACTGTAACCCCAGCTGCCCCCAAATTCAAGCCGAGCTGGGGGCGAGCTCAGCAGTGAGCACTTGACTTGCATGCACCAAGCTCTGGGTTCCAGCCCCAGCACTAAAAATAAGAAAAAGAAAAAGAAAAATGACTGTGGGCTCCAGCACAGCAGGAAGGAGAGGCCGGTGTGAGCTGGTCAGTGTGTGGGGATTGATTCGAGATGGCAGGTGCCACGACTGTGAACGGGTGAATGGCACCTTGAGGCCTCAAAGGCTTATTTTCCTCCCAGGGCTTCTCTGCACCCAGAGTCACACTCAGGCTCCCGAGGCCCTTAGCCTTGTCCCCCAAATCTTTGTGAGAGAGGCCGGGCTACCCCAAGAGCAGCCAAAGATGCAGGGTCTAAGTGTAAGGCCCACAACCACCAACCACCACACCCATCTACGGAGCCCCTGCAGCTTACCAGGTGTTAGGTCACAGCCAGGAGGACCCCACCCGAGCCTCAGTGAGTCAGTGCTGAGGAATGGGCAAGTGAGCTGGGGAGGTTTTGCCCCAACCCTGGAGCCACCCATGGGGAACCCCAGCCCCACACCCACACACACTGGGTGGGCGTGAAAGTCCCAGGTATAAACCCTGCTGGGTAAACCTGATTCCCTCACTAGGCAAACACAAGGGTGGTGACCACTGCCTGCCCCGGGGCGTGGGGATGGTGGGGTGTGGTGGGGTGTGGCCTTTGGCCAACACCGGCCTGGAGGGGCCACGGCTGGGGGACAGGTGAACTCTGTGCCCTCAGGCCTAAGCCCAGGGTGTATGGAGGGGCTGTCTGCTCATCCAGCTTTTCCATGGAGGACCCAGGTGTGACGGTACATGCTTGGAATCCCAGCACTCTGGAGGCTGAGGCAGGAGGATCTTTATGAGTTTGAGACCAGCCTGGGCAACAAATGAGTTTAAGGGCAGCCTGAACTGCATAGTGAGACCCTGTCTCAGAAAGACAAATGGAGAAAGAGACACAGACAGACAGAGAGAGAGAGAGACTTGGACCCTGGTGTAGTGGCACTCACCTGTCATCCCAGCACTCACAAGGCTGGGGCAGGGGGGTCCCTGCATGGGCTACGTAGTGAATTTCAACCACCCAGCGAGACCCTGCCGGCGGGGAGCGCTTGCCTAGTTCCTGTGAGCCCCTGGGTCCTTGACATTACTAAGTAAAAATACATGAAAGCTGGGGTGACCCGGTGAGTGCTTGCCGGGCCCTTGGCCCCATGCAGTGGTTTCGTGTGGGGAGACGCCGCGCACCCGGGTCCAGGGAGCAGCTCTTTCGCTTTGTCTATCTTTAGGTTTTGTTTCATTTTTGGTGCTGAGGTTCGAATTAAGGGCTTCACACAGAGCTCCACCTCAGCCCTTTTATTTCTGAGTTTGAGACAGGTTCTGTTGATGTTGCTAAAATTTCCTCGGCTGGACTGAAACTTGCAATCCTCCTGCCTCAGCATCCCGGAGTGCCGGGATCACAGGCTTGCATCCCTGCACCCAGCTTCGGGCTTGGGCTCTGCTCTGCTCCTGAGAACGGGACAGAAATGAGTGCCAGCCTGAAGCCAATGCAGAGGTCTTGGGTATGAGCTACGGGGCTGATGGACCCGGATGTGGCAGGGACGACTTGCCTCGGAGCCCTGAGCGGTCAGTGCCTAGGGCCGAGCTCAACACAGGCCTGTAGGGACCCCAGGCAGCGGCTCCCTGGAGGAGGTGCCCTGGAGGTCAGCTGGGAGCAGCTGAGAGGAGGTTGGGCTCAGTGGAGGCACAGGCAGCGTCAGAGGGTGACCCTGTGTCCCCTGGGGGAGCAGGACAAGAGTTTGAGGACACTGGGTGGGGGGGTCACCCCAGGCTCTGCAGCCCTGCCCAAGCCCACGGGAAGAGTTCCAAGTGAGCCTGGCCCCTCCTGGCTTAGTAGCAGGGAGGAGGGAGGAGGGGGAGTGGGGAGAAAAACCAGGATGCGGGGGCCAGGAACCTAGAGTAGCTGCCTAACTCCGGGCCTCAGTTTCCTCCCTGACATCCCTCAGCAGGGAGGGTGTAAGCCCACCGGGTCCATCTGTGAACTTCTGGTGAGTGGACCTCAGAGACAGCTCAGGGTGGTCAGGTTGGGGCCAAAGGCCCGGCACAGGAAGCTGGGCGTGGTCAAATGAGAACGCTAGACCCACTGACTGTCAGTGCTGTGTCACTGATGGGTGCACAAGCGTCAGGTATGGTTGGATACAGCAGCTCGAATGTTTTGGGGCACGTGGTACCGGGCCTGGGGTGGCTCTCATGCAAGCTGTGCTTATCTGATAGCACAAACGGATCCAGTAATTTTCTACTTTGTCACACGAGCCTAGGAGCATTCATTGTTTTTTGTTTTCTTTTGTGACAGGGGTCTCACTCTAATTCAGGCTGGTCCTGAACTCACTAAGTAGTCCAGGCAAACCTCAAACTTGTGTCAATCCTCCTGCCCCAGCCTCCAGAGTACTGAAATCACAGGCATGGATGGCCACCAACACTTTCATTAATGAATTAAGTACAGTAATTTCATTAATGAATTAAGTGCGTTAATTTTAAAGTTCCAAGATTTCATGTGATTGGCCAACTTGAGTCAGTTACCCAGGCCGGAGCTAATCACAAGGCAGAGAGTGAAAGAATGTGATTGGCTAGCCTGCATCAGGTATGCTGTGATTGGCTGAGGACTACTTACCCATCCTTCCAGCAGTCACAGAGGTCAGATAGTGCACTGCTGTGATTGGCTGGGGCAGAGAATGGAACACTGTGATTAGCTGGGTAGAGTCCAAGAGCAGTTATTGGCTGAGCCGGACCAATGAATGGAATGATGTGATTGGCTGGGCAGGATCACTTGCCCATCCCTCAGCCAATCACAGAGGTCACAAAACCTGGGACTCTGTTTTAGAAGGACTCTGGGTGTTTGTTTGTCTCCCCCTTCCCTGACTTGTGTCCATGACTTCCTTCTTAGTGAAACTGGAGGTCTCCACCCACTGGTGAAAGGTCAGCTGAGGCTCTCCAGGAAATGGACCGCGTGACCAGATACCATGTCTTCAGTCAGCCACACTCAGCTCGAGTGGCTGGGCTGGCCCTGGACGGAGACACCAGTTACAAGATTGAGCTGGTGGGCGTGGGCCCCAAGGACCACGTCTGGGTTCTGGACGAACCACGCTCTTTATCCACGGCCTTGGAGGCCCAGGTGGACAGGACAGAGACACAGGTGTCCCGCAGCAAGGCCGCGGTCCTCGGGCACCCAGCAAAGGACAGAGATGAGGAGATGGAGGTTTACCTCCTGGAAGCCAGCCATGGCGCCCCCAAGCGGCCAGAAGACCTGGAGCATGAGCGCTGGGCCGTCATCCAGGGCCAGGCGGTCAGGAAGGGCGGCACAGTGGCCACGCTTCGTGGCACCCCTGACCGCCAGGACACTGGGCCACCCAGCCACCTGCCACCCGATACCCTGGAGAGGAAAGATCTGGTTGACACGGATCAGATCGATTTCCTGGAGGCACGGCAGCACTTTTTGAACCTGGAACAGGACACCACAAACAGGACCTCTGTCTCCCAGAGTCCCCTGGCCAAAGTGCCCCCTGCTCGTGCCCAGCTGGGGTTCATCCGGACCCCTAGACCCTCGAAGGAGCCCCAGCTGACCAACGGGCATGTCGTCCCTGCCACCGACCAGGACAAGGAGGTCCTCCTGGAGGAAAAGAGAGCTCAAGGTGATTTTACTGGACACACAGCACAAGCGCTGGACAGCTCTGGGCCTTGGTCCCTGGCCACTAACAGCTCCAGCCTCCGTTTCCAAGTGGCTGATTCCTCTGGCTTCCAGTCCCAAGACACAGCCAACCCCAACTTCCAATCGCAAACCCCAGAGGTGTCCCAGCTCTGGGCCCAACCCATGCACGACCCCGGCTCCTGGTCCCCAGAGCTCTCCAAAGAGACCCCCATCGAGAGGGAGATCCGCTTGGCCCAGGAGCGTGAGGCGGATCTGCGGGAGCAGAGGGGCCTCAGGCGGGCAGCTGGCCACCAGGAGCTGGTGGAGATCCTCACCCGGCCAGTGCTGACCAAAGCCAGCCTGGCCGAGGCACCTCGGAGGGACCGGAGCCGCTCGTTCCTGTACGTGCAGCGTGACATGGTGCAGGAGACGCAGCGGGAGGAGGCCCACCGGCGGACAGGCCTGCAGGCCAGAGGGGCATCTACGCCTGACTGGGGCCCCGAGGAGCCCAGGCCCGCACTCCTGAGGACGCTGAGCTCTGACTCCATCCTCGACCCTGTGCCTGATGCCCGTGCGGCTGACCCGGCCCCAGAGACCAGGAAGGTGAACCGCATCCCGTTGGATGCCTACCAGCCATACTTGGGCGGGGGGACTCCCCAGCCGGACTTTTCCCCGTTCTGGGGATACCGAGGTCCACCCACCACTGCCACTGCAGAGGCCAAAGCTCTCGGCTCCCCAAAGGCCTCGAGCTCTCAGGGGCCTTTCTCGGAAGCCTCTGGAAAGGCCGTGAGCCTGAAGTCCCCTCAGGGTCACCCACAAGCTAGCGGGGCCACAATACCCCAGGAGTACTTTTGCCTGCAGCCCCTGAAGTTCAGGGGCCCCGACCCGCAGCATCCGGCTGAGGCCACCCGGGCCTGGGGCTGGGAGGCCACTTCAGAGGCCAAAGCTCTCGGCTCCCCAAAGCCCTCAGGCTCTCAGAGGCCTTTCTCGGAAGCCTCTGGAAAGGCCGTGAGCCTGAAGTCCCCTCAGGGTCACCCACAAGCTAGCAGGGCCACAATACCCCGGGAGTACTTCTGCCTGCAGCCCCTGAAGTTCAGGGGCCCCGACCCGCAGCATCCGGCTGAGGCCTCCCGGGCCTGGGGCTGGGAGGTGACTGGGGCCCCAGTGGTGAGGCTGAAGAGGTCACAGTCATCCGAGCTGCTGGACCGGGAGGTGGAGGACGTGCTCCGCCGGGAGCGGGAGGTGGAGGAGCAGCGGAGGAGGAGCACCTTCCTCCCCAAATCCAGGTCCCTCTCCCCGTCACCATCACCATCACCATCACCATCACCACCGTGGGACGAGGGCTGCAAGCAGGACTCTAGGCGCTCCTCCAGGGAGTCTGGTAAGGAGGACACGGGAGGACAGGAGAGTGGCCGCTCTGCCCCGAGACCTAGGAAGGAGCAAGGGGATGGGAGAGGTGGGCTTCCGGGGATCAGGGGGGCCCAAGTGTCCAGACTCTGTCCCTTGATACCCAACGTCCACCACTTCAGCTGTAGATTTGGGGGGTGGTGTCAACTTTGCCTTAAGGTTTTGTTTTTTTTTAAACCACTGAATTCACATCTCTTAAGTTTTTTTTGTTTGTTTGTTTTATTTTTGCTTTATGGATTTATACGATTTGTTATTAGTTGCATAGAGGTTTGCAGAAGTTTAACCTCCTGGTCAAGGGCTCTTCTCAGTCAGTATGAAATCTCTTCCAGGGCTGCTTGGTGATTTTTACCCTCTGTCTCTCCAGTTTTTCCTTTTTTTTTTTTGTTTTGTCTTTCTGAGAAAGGGTCTCTCTATGCAGTCCAGGCTGGCCTTGAGCTCACTTCGTAGCCCAGGCTGGTCTCAAATTCTCAATGATCCTCCTGCCTCAGCCTCCCGAGTGCTGGGATGCAAGGTGTTCATCACCATGCCTGACAGGTTTTTCCTATTTCAGTCAATCTGTCACAACTGCTCACCTGCCCTCTTTGTCCTTTGATGGTCCTGGTGCTTCAGCCAGAAGGAACGCATCTCCAGAGCTAAGGTCTCAGGGTCACCCCCCAACAACCTTCCCCCCACAGGCATCACGGGCAGTTACTCTGTGTCCCAGTCGCCCTTGTTCACCCCCGTCAGCCTGCACTCAGACCTGGTGTGGACAGCGGAGCCCCCGATGGACAGTGTTTCCAGGCCCAGGAGCAAGGGCCAGTCGGTGAGCAGAGGCGGCTGCCCACCACAGGAGCCTCAGGAGGGTTGCGGGAGCCCCAAGCGTTAACCTGGGGCTGCTTGACAACACCATCACTGCCCCCCTTTCGTGGCTGTGACTCAGTTTCCCCCATGTGAAGTACAGAATCCTAAACCAGGCAGCTCTGTCTCTGGGCATCTGCTTGGAGAAGCCACATGATCAGAGATCTCTGCCCCCATCTGAGTTCATCCCGGGTCAGAGATACATATCATGGAGGGGTTGCCGAGAGGTTGGGGTGACTGTGGGGTGCTGGGAGGGCTCCTCAGGCAGGAGATATCGTCCCTCCTTGTCTTCAGTGGACACTCAGCTGTATTTGTGGGGTGGGGTGTGGAGGGACAGGGCTGACTCCTGTCCTCTCCCCACAGTATGCAGGCATCAACCCTTCGGATAGCATCAACTCAGAGGTGAGTGCCCCTGGGACGTGGGGAGAACACAGACTTTACCCCCATGGCCTTTCCTCTAAGGGTGGGACAATTCCCGGCGTCCATTGCATGGGTAATGTCTGCTCAGGGTAGATGATTCTGGGATCTGCTTCTTGTGAGGTCTGCCACAGGCACCAACTACACCGAGAGGACCCGTGTGACACCATTTGTCAGAGGACAGTTTTAAAGCAGATTAGAACCAAACGAGGATCCTTCTCATTTATTTATTTATGTATTTATTGTAATGCTGGGGTTAGAACCCGGGCCTGGCATGGGCTAGACCAGCACTCACTACTGAGCTATACCCACGGCCCTGTTTTAAAATTGGCTTTTGAGACAGGGTTTCCCTAAGTTGCCCAGGCTGTGCTTGAATTTATGATTCTCCTGCCTCAGCCTCTTAAGTACCTGAGATGCACCACAGGCCTGGCCCTGGGTTCAGTCAATTTCTAGTACCACAAAAAAAAAATAAAATAAAATAAAAATTAAGACTCTGGTATTTTCCCTGCCCTGAACTGAGAACCGCCCAGCAGTTCTGTGGTTCTATTACTAGGAGTAGAGGGTCTGAAACAGAGGAGGGGACCATCCTGCCTTGTCCCTGTCTGAGGCCAGTCTGGGGACCCCTGGGGTACCGAGAACACTGACAGGGACTCTGCCTCTTCTGGCACAGATCCTGGGAGCCACGCGTGTGACCCGCCACAAAAATGCCATGGCCAAGCGCTGGGAGGCTGGCATCTACACCAGCGAGGATGAGGACTGAGCCTGGCCCAGGACTTCGGCCAGCCCTGCCCACTGCGGACTTGGTCCCCGTGCGGAGTCCCAGTGCGAGGAGCTGAGTCAGCGCCCACAGGTGTGGGAACCTCATGTTCCACTCCAGGGTTCTCCTCGCCACACTGTCCCCCTGGGGGAAGCTTTCCTGTTTTGAGGGTCTTCGGCTGGGCCTGAAGAGAGAGCCCTGCTGAGCTGTGTCCCGCCCTTAGTGGGCTTTTTGAGACAGAGCCCAGTCGGGCCTCCAGCTGCCAGCAATGACCCTCCCTGGGCCTCCGGGGCCACCATGCAGGTTGCTTGGGCCTCTGAGACTTTGCCTGGTGCTCCGGGTCTGCAGATGGAGATGGGGACTGTGGTGTGCCCTGCAGCCTGGGTGTGAAGCTCCGGGCCCTCAGCTGCTGGGGAAAAGCGGGAGGGCTGAGGCATCAAGGCCTGTGCCTCCCACAAACCTTGTACCTGTCCTTGTTCACCTGGAATAAACCCGAGAGTCCCCAGCCTGCCCCAGCCCAGCCATCGGCGGAGAGCACTGGGTCACCTTGGTCTCAGTTCTCTGGAAAACATCAGGTCCTGCCCCGCTGGACCACGATCCCTGTGATGTGGACTACGGGCTCCCGCGTGCTGCATACAGCAGGTGCCTCATTAGTGCTCATGCAGAGGCTGTGGAGTGTACAAGGGTTGGCTTTGGGCCCGTGGGGTCTCATGAACCGTCCCCTGCAGTCCCAAGGTTCCTCCCAAGCCTCAGGGGAGAACCCGGATCCCCGTCCCAACTCCTGGTGACGCCTGCAGCCCTTGGCTTGCGGCCCCTTCCTCCATCTGCAGAATCGGCAGCAGCTGCATCTCCAGCCTCTCTCCCTCCTGTGCCCGCTAGGCTGCCCCAGAATGAGCCAAGCAAGGGACAGGACGGGGTGGGCTGGTTTGGCTCGGATGCCCACACAGTGTCCCTGCCGCCTCAAACTCTCTTACTCTTTTTTTTTTTTAATTAAAAACAAATTTGAATTTCTGTATGTTTGCAATGCATAATAAACACACACACTGCGGGGAGCTGGTGAACAGGTGTACGACCCCGTGATCTTTTTCTTCCCCTTCCCTTTCCCGCCGTGTCCGGGACCATCCCCTCATTTCTTCTATTTAGTATAGAGCGGATTTGTCATTGTTGAGATGGGGCTCTCGCTATGGAGCTCAGGCTGGCCTCAAACTTGCAGCGGTGGAGATCCTCCTGTCTCAGCCTCCTGAGTGCTGAGATGACAGGCGTGCACCACCCCACCGGGCTAGCAGTCGCCCTGTGTGACAGGATCGCGCCCCACTGTGTTCAGTGTGTCCAGCCAGCATGGTCCCTGTCACCTAGCTGCCCCCTGGTTTTCTGTGATGTTCCTTGGATGATAGACCATCCTCCTCCCCAGCCTTTGGCGTCCTCTAAGGCAGCTGTGGCCCTGGAGGCCCCCGGGGCAGCGCTGCCCTCTGCTGGCGGGAGGCCCCTTCCTCCCAGGTCCCAGCTGGGTTTGGTGGTGACTTTGTGGGCAGCCGCGGCCTGAGGAAGTGCTGCCCAGGTGACCTGGGGCCCACAGGGTCCCCATGCTGGGATGTGGCCAAACAGTGACAGGGGCCATGTGTCCAGCAGTGTCCAGGCCCCCGGGAGCCAGCGCCCTGCCTGTGTGCTGGGAGCTGCCACTGTGGCCACCTGCTAGGGGACCAGGAGTGAGGGACGTCTGCTGGACTTTGGCTTCAACTGAGAGAAATTCTCAGGCAGCCCGGCCCCTCCGAGAGACCCCACTTCGGGGTAAAAACTAAAAAGGGGCCTGCAGTGCAGCAGGGGAGAGGCCCGGGGCTCCATCGCAGGTGGTGCAAGGATAATAAATAAGGGCCAGGACTGGTGGTGCCCACTAGTGACCCCAGCACTGAGGAGGCTGAGGCAGGAGGGTCGCTGCGACTTCAAAGCCAGCCTGAGCTGCACAGTGAGCAAGACTCTGTCTCAAAAAATTAATTCATTAATATCATTTTTTAAAATAGGGTTAGAGTTAGGCTGAGACTGCCTCTCGGGTCTTCTTTGCAGTCATAGGCATGGAGCCCCACAATCAGGCCAGCTGTGTCCACCTCACCTGTCCAGTCTCAAATACTGTCGCCCTCCTGTCTGTATGTAGCTCAGGCTGGCCTTGGGCTCACTTTGGAGCCCAGGCTGGTCTGGACCTTGCAGAGATCCTCCTGCCTCAGCCTCCTGAGTGGCATCACCACATGGGGGAGGGGAGGATGAAGCAGGAGAATCACCATGAGTTCAAGCCCAGCCTGGGCTACGTAATGAACTCAGGACCACCCTGAACAACACGGCGAGACCCTGTCTGAAAAAAATTTTAAAAACCAGATGGTGCACTGTTGCCTGCAGTCTCTCCGTGGAACTGTAAGAGTTTCCTACAGTGCTGTGACCCAGGGCCACAGCCTGGGCCCTGAAGGACACGGTTCCAGAAGTTTGAGGTCAACGTTCTGTCATTTCCCAGATTCCAGGAGGTCGCTCTCTGGCTCCCAGCGGTGCCTGCAATCCTTGGCTTGCGGCCCCTTCCTCCTTTGGCAAAGCCGGCCATGTCGCCTCTCATCCTCCCCCCACCAGTCCACTCAGGGGAGACTGGGGGACCCTGGGCAGCTGGTGACACCGTTCCCAGCTGGTGACCAGGCCTTTATGCCGTAGATGCAGAGCTCTCTCTGTCCTTGTGCGAGGACCTCTCAGGTTCAGGAAGCCAACGCTTTTCTTACGCAGCTGTGCCTGGGGGACCTTGGGGGATCAGAGACCAGACCCAGACCACACCACGATGACCTCAACCCCTCATGCTCCCCAGGGTCAGGTCACAGCCCTTTAGCCATTTCCATCCCGCGTGTGTCCCCAGGGACGGGAGGTCTGGGTCCTGGTCCCCCGCTGTCACTGGATCTCGTCATCTGTGACAGCTCAGTGTCCTGGAGTCCTCCCTGTGTGGGGTTCAGGACGGTCACATTGCTCCCGCAGCCACTCAGGGAGAGCCCGGCAGTGGCCCAGATAAAGAGCAACTCCAACCACCTTGGGCACAGCCAGGATTTGAGCCTGGCGTGGTGGCTCATGGCTGTCAGCCCAGCACTCGGGAGGCTGAGGCAGGAGGGTCGCTGCGAGTTCGAGACCAGCCTGGGCTACAAAACGAGTCCAAGTCTAGCCTGGACTGCACAGCGACACCCTGGACGCCTGACGCGCAGTCAGGGCTCGGTGACTGTGGATTCTCCGGGGCCACCTCCTGGTTTGAGGTCGCGAGGTGCAGGCGCACGCGGCCACCAGGGGGCGCCACAGCACCAACCACGCGGCTCAGACCCCGTGCTGCAGAGGCCAAAGCCCAGGGCTGCGGGAGCTGCAGACCCGGCAGCGACGGCGGGGAGGCGGAGGGGGGGCGCTGTGCACTGAAAACCAGGCCTCCCTCCCGACCGGCGTCCCGCCCCGGTGCCTTTTGTTTGCGGGTTCCTTTGTTTTGTTCTGCTCTGTTTTGAAGTGCAGGCCGCCGGCCTTGAAGTCATTGCGTAGCTGGCTGGAGTCCAACTCCTGGGGATCATCTTGCCTCGGCCTCTGCGCGTCGGGAGGATGGCTGTGCCCCCCCTAAGCCTGTTTTGGAATGAAGCTTTTTACAGTTTTACAGATGCTGGAGGCAACACCCATGCCAACCTCCACCGCCAGCCCAGGTCACACAGGCTCTGAGTGACAACTTTATGAGGTCCACTGATCCAGGGACACCAATCCTCGGAGCCAGAGGCTGGAATGAGGTTGGGAAACACATGTTGGTGACCAGGTGGAGCCCAGGAGGCCGGCCCCTGCCTCATGGGACCGGGAAGACCGTTGTGGTCCCCTGACTGGGAGCATGGCCTGTCCCCTGGGGACGAAGAATCCAGCCAGTTTCCCCCAGAGAGGCCGATTTCTTTGGGAGTGGCCATCCCTGTAATAGCAGCCCTAGGGAGGCTGAAGCAGGAGGATCCTTGTTCAAGTTTGGGCTACACAGTGAGTTTAAAGCCAGACTGAGCTATCTAGTGAGACTCTGTCTCAAAAAGAAAAGGGCTGTGGATGTAGCTCAGCAGCATAAGCATTTGCCTGGCAAGCACAAGGTCCTGAGTTCAATTTCTGGTACCCACCAAATTTTGGTAACATAAAGTTAACTGCCAGCCACTGTGACCAGTCCAGGTCAGCGTCTTTAATACACAGTGACACAAATTCACAGCAGCCAAAATATGGGATTGACCCAAGCATTCATCAGTGGACTGCTGTGTACACATGGCAAGAGCCATCCCCATGCTGGAGTATTATACAGCCAGGAAGAGGAGAAGGTGTAACAGTCCTGCAGCGTGGCAGGACCTTGCTCAGTGAGTGACACCAGACACAGAGGAGACACAGGGTGGGCTCCATGGAAATGCCCAGGACAGGCAACTCCAGGGACAGGAAGTGGTCTTGTGGGGGCCAGGAGGGGCTAGGTGACTGCTCATGGGGACAGGGCTTCTTTTTGGGGGATTGGAAGGCCCTGGAGTTAGACAGAGGTGGTGGCTACAGAGCCCTGAGCTGTAGATGAAGATACTTAATTTTTGATTTTCTTTTTGATTTTGCAGTTTAGTCTGGCTGTGAACTCGCTGTGTAGCCCAGGCTGGCCTGGATCTGATGTTGATCCTCCTGCTTCAGCCTCCTAAGTGCTTCCATGCAGCATCCTAAGCCTGGGATCTGGGGCCCAGTTCTGGGTCCTCCCAGGTCTTCCAGGTCCTGGGACAGCTTGGAGTGGAATGTCCGTACTGAGCAGTCTTTACAGGCATTTAAGATATTGGCTCTCACTGGGCATGGCAGTACACGCCTGTCGTCCCAGCGCTGGGGAGGCTGAGGCAGGAGGACCCCCAGGAGTGTGAGGCCAGCCTGGGCTACAGAGTGAGACTCTGCCTAAACCAACAAACAAAGGAAAAAACCACAGTTGAAGCCCAAACCAGGCAACTTAGTAGCAAGACACTGGCTCAAAATAAAAAATGTAAAGGGCCGGGTTTGGAAGTCAGTGTGGAGGCCCTGGGTTGCATCCTAGTGGTAAAAAAGGAAAAACAGGGGAAAAGAGAAAGAGAGCAAAAAAAAGGATAGAATTCAAACTGCACGTGGTGATGCACACCTATAATCCCACACTCAGGAGGCTGAGGCAGGCAGATCTCCATGAGTTCCAGGCCAGCCGGGGCTACACAGCAAGATCTGGTCTCAAAAAGAAACAGACAAAAAAGACTTCATGATGTCGGCCACTTGGTGGAGGACTCCACAGCTGGCCCTGCCGGCCCCGTCTGAGGTGGTCAAGGTCACCCCACTTACCAACGTGGCCCAGCAGTCTGGGGTACTGTGTGGCCCCGGAGTGTCCCCAGTCCGGGTTTCAGGTGACCACAGCGGGGTCCAGGGGCTCCAGGGACAGGTTTTTTTTTTGGTTTCTGTTTAAACGGTTTGTCTATTAGTCATTTGTGCGCGTCCTGGGGACAGGACTTAGGGCCTTCACACAAGCTCGGTCCCTAGACCTTATTTTTTCCTTTTGAGGTAGAGTTTTGCTAAGTGGCCCGCACTGGCCTGCAACTTGAGATCCTCCTGCTTCAGCCTCCTGAGTGGTTGAGATGCTGGCCGTTCTCCCCTACTGGAGGGCACAGGAGAGTTTATCCATGTAGTGCCGGGCCTCGGGGATCTCCCCGGGGGCCTCCAGGGACACACTGCCCTGTTGTGACCGCTGTGGCCAGGCCTGTCCCCTTCTCCTGGGTCCTGACTTCCGGACCCACAGAGAATGGGGCACCATGAGGCTAAAGTTTCTTCAAACTTCCACCCTGTCACTGCAGTCGCAGGGCGGGAGGGGTCACAGCTGGTGGCTGGAACTGACTCACCAGGAAGAGCTGGGCCTGGGAGCTGGCCAGTGCCCCAAGGGCCTGGGGGTCACCAGATGGTCCCGTGACTCGGAAGGGCTGGGGCGTGGCTGGGGAGGGGGCAGGCGATGCCTCTCTGGTTTGTGTCACCAGTCCCCTAAAAGTCAGAGCTGGGTGTGGCGACCCCATCTATCAGG